CAGGGCTGCCGGAGCAGCCACACGCCAGGCGGGCACTGGGCGGGCAGGGTGCCGCGGAAAACGGGTGGAGGGAGGAGCTGTTACAGCCGGAGTCCCAGGCTGTGCGTTTGTGTTGTGTTGTTTTGTGACGCGGGAAGGACTTGACGTTCTGTTTGGGGATTGTGAGATATGAGGCACTTTCTTCATTTGTCCTCGACTCTCGTAGCATAAGAGGTACCGGGAGTCCCATTCTGGTCAGGACAAGACCTTCAGGTTACAGAGTGGGTCAGGGCGCTTTTCCTGTGCTGCCCTAGCACTGCTCTGCCGTCTCTCAGGCTCAGTCTCAGAGCGGCTAGCGCCAGCGCGGCCCAACCGGACCATGCAGGTGTCGTCCGCGTAAGGTGGAGCTGAGCCCTGGCCGCGTGATTCACAGCCACACCGCTCCTTGCCTCCGGTCTTCTGCCAGCAAACCGGGTGTGCTCTGACCAGCCAGCGTCACTCCAGCCATCCGGGTCAGGTGCTTCTGTTAGTTTTAGTCTAAATCCCTCTTTTCCTCATGGTGAGCCTGAGGTACAGAGTGAGAATGTCTCAGAAAACCAAATGAGCAAAATCTCACTTAGAATGGGAGCAGGTGGTGGCCAAGAGATGTGACAAGTGTCAGTCAATTCAAGATTTGTTAATTTTTTTTTATTGAGTTTATTGGTACATTTAAGGATACAGTACAGTTACATTCATTGTTGGGATCATGTACCTTTACATGGCAAGTCTTGATTCTCATTTTTTTCCCCTTACCACTGCCCTCCCTTCACCCCCTCCTCCCCTCCCCATCTACAAACGCTTTATTTTCATCTTTTCATTCTCTCACATTTTTTTCTTTTCCCTTTTTGTTCTTCCCCTACGTATCACACCTTCCCTACACCTTTAGCTCCTTTCCTCCCATTTCTAAATGTCAGTAATCTTATTAGAATCTTATGCATTGTTGCAGAATATTCACACCAGGGAAACTATTTGGTATTTACACATGTGGGACTTATTTATTTCACTTAGGAGTATATCTTCAATATGTATCCATTTTCCTATGAATGAATCTATTCTCTCGCTCTTTATGGCTGAGTAATATTCCATTTTATAGAAAAACCACAACTTCTTTATCCAGTTTCCAACGGATGGGCAAATAGGTTGTTTCCAAGATTTAGCTATTACAAACTGTGCCGCTATAAACATGGGTGCACATACTTCTCTGTGATATGATTCTTTTAGTTCTCTTGGAAAGATACCCAACAGAGGGATGGCTGGGTCAAATGGAACCTCCAGTCCAAGCTCTTTGAGGTATCTCCATATTGATTTCCATAGTGGTTGCACTAGTCTGCACTCCCACCAACAATGGAGGAGGGTTCCTTTCTCCCCACAACCCCGCCAACATTTGTTATTGTGTGATTTCTTGATAGCAGCCATTCTTTGTGGGGTGAGGTGGAATCTCAGTGTTGTTTTCATCTGCATCTCTCGAATGACCAGTGATGTGGAACATTTTTTCATATATTTTCTTGCTGCTTTCACTTCTTTGTATGAGAAATGTCTGTTCATTTCGGATGCCCATTTTTGGATCGGGTCTTTATATTTGGGGGGACTGATTGTTTTGAGTTCTTTATATATCCTTGATAATAGTCCTTTGTCTGAGGTACAGCTGGTAAAAATTTTTTCCCACATTGTAGATTGTCTCTTAGTTCTGCTAATGGTTTCTTTTGAAGTACAGAAGCTTTTTAGTAAGATGAGATCCCAGTTGTTGATTCTTTCTGCTAGTTCCCGTGCTACTGAGGATTTGTTCATAAAGTCTTTTCCTATACCAATGTCTTCCAGAGTTCTGCCTAACTTACTTTCCAGCAAGTTTAATGTTTCTGTTTTAATATTTAGATCTTTAATCCATTTGGATGGCGAAAGATAAGGGTCTAATTTTAATCTGTGGCAGGTTGATATCCAGTTTTTCCAACACAATAAACTGATATCCAGTTTATTAAAGAGGCTATCTTTCCTCCACTGAGGATGGTGAGCTCCTTTGTCGAAGATGAGGTAGCTGAGTACATCTGCATTTGTTTTTGTGTCTTCCAGTCTGTTCCATTGATCCTCAGGCCTATTTCTTTGCCAGTACCATGCTGATTTTATCACAGTGGCTTTGTAGTATAGTTTCAAATTGGGAATTGTTACACCTGGTGCCATGTGACTGTTGCCTATAATGGCTTTTGCTATTCTAGGTCTCTTGTGGTTCCAAATGAATTTTTGGATTCTTTTTTCTAGTTCTGTGAAATATAGTGTTGGAATTTCAATTGGCATTGCATTGAATGTATATAGCAGTTTCGGTAGTATGGCCATTTTCACTATGTTGATTCTTCCTACCCAGGAGCAGGGGATATCTTTCCATTTTTTTATATCCTCTTCGATTTCTTTTTTCAGAGTGCTGTAGTTTTCAGTGTAGAGATCTTTTGTTTCTTTTGTTAGATTGATTCCTAGATACTTCATTTTTTTGGATGCTATTGTAAAAGGAATTTTTTCCCTTATTTCTCTTTCTGTCTGTCTGTTATTTGTGTATAGAAAGGCTATTGATTTTTGGGTATTCACCTTGTATCCAGATACTTTACTGAATCTGTCAATTAAGTCTAGAAGTTTTTTGGTGGAGTTTTTTGGATCTTCAATGTAGAGTATCATATCATCAGCAAATAATGATAGTTTAACTTCTTCCTTTCCTATCTTTATTGCTTTAATTTCTTTCTCTTGTCTAATTGCTGTGGCTAATGTTTCCAGAACTATATTGAAGAGAAGTGGCGATAGTGGGCATCCTTGTCTTGTTCCTGATTTTAACATGAAGGTTTTCAGTTTTTGGCCATTCAATATGATGTTGGCTGATGGTTTTTCATAAATAGCCTTTATTAAATTGAGGTATAGACCATCTATTCCAATTTTTTGCAGGGTTTTTATCATGAATGGGTGTTGAATTTTATCAAATGCTTTTTCTGCATCTATTGAGAGGATCATATGGTTTTTGTCCTTGACTTTGTTAATATAATGTATTACATTCACTGACTTTCGTATGTTGAACCACCCTTGCATCTCTGGAATAAATCCGACTTGGTCATGATGGATGATCTTCTTAATAATCCTCTGTATTCTGTTTGCTAGTATCTTATTAAGGATTTTTGCATCTATATTCATTAAGGAGATTGGTCTGTAGTTCTCCTTTTTGGTTGTATCTTTCTCTGGTTTGGGAATCAGAGTGATACTTGCTTCCAGGAATGAATTTGGAAGTATAGCTTCTCTTTCAATTTCATTGAAAAGTTTGAAGAGTAATGGTAGTAGTTCTTCTCTAAATGTCTTGTAAAATTCAGCAGTGAATCCATCAGGGCCTGGGCTTTTCTTTGTTGGTAAGTTTTTAATTACATTTTCAATTTCACTGATTGTGATTGGGGTGTTTAAAATGTTTTTATCTTCTTCGTTCAACTTTGGTAATTCATAAGTATCTAGAAATCTGTCCATTTCTTCTGTGTTTTCCATTTTATTAGAGTACAGGTTCTCAAAGTAGGTGTTCATGATCCTCTGGATTTCTTTCGGATCTGTTGTGACTTCGCCTTTTTCATTCCTAATTGCATGGATCTGAGCCTTTTCTTTCCTTTTTTTGATAAGATTAGCTAAGGGTTTGTCAATTTTATTTATTCTTTCAAAAAACCAGCTCTTTGTTTCATTTATTTTTTGTATCGTTTTCTTAATTTCAATTGCATTGATTTCTGCTCGGATCTTTATAATTTCCTCTCTTGTTCGAGCTTTGGGTTTTTCTTGCTCTTGTTTTTCTAGGAGTCTAAGTTTCATCGTTAAGTTGTTTATTTGAGCCCGCTCTGTTTTCCTAGTGTGGGCATTCAATGTTATGAATTTTCCACGTAGAACTGCTTTCATTGTGTCCCAAAGATTCCTGTATGTTGTATTGGCATTCTCATTTATTTGTAAAAACTGTCTAATTTCTTCTTTAATTTCCTCTGTAATCCATTGATTGTTTAGGAGAGTGTTGTTCAGTTTCCATGTGCTTGTGAAGTTTCTATAGTTTCTTGTGCTATTGATGTCTAGTTTGATTGCACTATGATCTGATAATAAACAGGGGATGACTTCAATTTTTTTGCATTTATTTAGACCTGTTTTGTGAGCCAGTATGTGGTCTATTTTGGAGAATGATCCATGTGCAGCCGAAAAGAATGTATATTCTGGTTTTTGGGGGTGGAATACTCTATAAACATCTATTAAGTCCATGTGTTCCAAAGCTTGGTTCAGTTCTATTATTTCATTGTTGATTTTCTGCCTAGTAGATCTGTCAATTTGTGATAGTGGGGTATTTAAATCCCCCACTACAATTGTATTAGTGCTTATTTGGTTTTTCATGTTACTTAATATTTGTTTTATATAGTTGGGGGCATTTATATTTGGTGCATATATGTTTATGATTGTCAGCTCTTCCTCTTGAATTGTTCCCTTTACAAGGATGTAGTGTCCTTCTTTGTCTCTCTTAATGAGTTTTGGTTTGAAATTTACTTTATCTGAGAATAAGATTGCTACCCCTGCTTTTTTCTGGACTCCTGACGCATGGAGAATTGTTTTCCATCCTTTCACTTTCAGTCTATGGACTTCCTTTTGCACTAGGTGTGTTTCTTGTATACAACATATTGTTGGATTTTGCTTCTTAATCCATTCTGCCAATCTGTTTCTCTTGATTGGTGAATTGAGGCCATTAACATTGATGGTTACAACTGATATATTTTGACTTATTCTTGTCATGTTTTTGTCCATTTGTTGACTCTTTTTACTTTTTCTCCCATCTCCTTTTAGTTTCTTGCCTTGCCTATTTGATTTGGTCTGTTGGGCCTCATGTTATTGTGAATTTCGTTGTCCTTTTCTAGGATATTGTTTAGAATTCCTTGCAGTGCTGGTTTGGTGTTCATGAAATTTCTCAGGTGCTCTTTGTCGTGGAAGTATTTTATTTCCCCATCTATTTTGAAAGAGAGTTTTGCAGGATACAAAAGTCTAGGTTGGAGATTCTTTTCTTTTAGGACTTGGAATACCTCACTCCAGGCTCTCCTTGACCTAAGGGTTTGTGTTGAAAAGTCTGCTGTGATTCTAATGGGCTTCCCTTTGCATGTGATTTGTTTCTTTTCTCTTACTGCTTGTAGTATTTTGTTTTTCTGTTGGATTTCTGGAATCTTGATTATTATATGTCTAGGTGTAGATTTTTTTTGATCGTGGCTAGTTGGGGTTCTATATGCCTCACTTATCTGTATGTCTAATTCTTCCCTTCTGTTTGGGAAGTTTTCTGTCATTAATTCTGTGAAGAGCTTTTTTATATCATTTGTGTTTTCTCCTGTTTTTTCATGAATTCCTATCAGTCTTATGTTATTTTTCTTTGTATCGTCTAGGAGTTGTTGGATTGATTTCTCATGATCCCTTACTGTTTTTAATAGACCTCTTTTTTCACGGTCACTGACTGCTATCCTATCTTCTATATCTGAAATTCTATCTTCGCAATCTTTTATTCTGTTTCGTACACTTTCAATAGAGTTTTTAATCTCCTGGATATCTGTTTGAATCTGTTTTATGGATTCCATTTCTTTCCTCTGTTGGGCATTCATTGTTTCCATGTCTTTCTTATGTTGAGTCTTCATGGCTTCTATCACAGTCTTGAGCTCATCTATTTTTTTCTCAGTTTCTGCTCTAGAGTCTCGAATCATGACTTCTATTTTGCTCATCATCTCTCTGGCTAGCTGGGAAATTATTTCTGATTTGAATTTTTCTAGAGCCTGATTGATCAATTTTGTTACCTCCTGTGCTATGGGTCCAGGGAGTCCTGTTGGTTCACTATCAGACTTTTCATCCTCATTTGTCCTACTATTTGCTATTGGTGAACTGGATATTTGTTTTTGTGTCTTGCTTAAGTGTTTTCTCATTTTTATTTTTATTGTTGGGTTGTCCTTCTTTAATTTCTGGGTATTACTTAAATCTTCCTAATATAGTTGCGTTTTAGCTTTTGAGTTTCTAATGACTCATAGACATTCTCGTTTTCATAATATCAGAGAAAACAACTCTTTAAATCAATCACCACTCTTTGTCCCAATTGATACATTCAGCAGCCCAATAGGATCAGGCACAGCTTGCCAACTGACCACTTGTGGTAGTCATTAATGTATCACCTTTAACTCATGTGAATTAGATGAATTTTAAGAAGCAGCTCATAGTATGTTTGCAGTGAATATTCTTTTCAATATGGCATCTTTACCATTTAGGATGGGGGGTTCGACTTAGAACAAGAGGATTAGATAAGTGAAAGAATTAGAGCAGGTTTGAAGTGAATCCAGAGGTTGTAGAATTACCTTACTATCTTTACAAAGCTATTA